ACATGTTAAATCACACAGAAATTTAGAGAAGAGATTTGCATCTTTTGCTCAGCCGTGTTTATTATACTGACATATTTTTATAATATTATTATTAACATTAGATAATAAAAATTACAGTTGCCTTCAGATGATACGCAAATATGTATGTACCTCTCGCAGCTAATTTAACAAAATGATTAAAAGGGGCACAATATGGTATTATATGAATAAATAAAATCTAATATTTCGATACAAGTAACCTGGTTTTAGTTTTTTTGTTTCCTGAAAAATGTAGAAAGGTAAAAAGAATAATTTTTGTTAATCGTACATTTTGGTTGTGAAAACTAATTAATTAAGTCATAAATATATTTTTTCATCTCGTAGATGTAAGCTATGGTTAAGAAACAACTTTCATGACACGACCGAACAGAAAACTTGAAATTTTTGTCGAGAAATCTAGCTTTACACAGACAAACTATATGCACACCACATCTCTACATCAATATTAAAATTGATAATAAATTGTCCTTTACCATTTTTTCACAATTTTGCAGAATATTTTTAAAAATTGTAACCAAGTTTGCCCGCACTCCACCATGTGACATAACAAATAAGCGTGTGGCAATTTGTCTCCCCTCCCGCCATGAATTTTCTCATCTCTGATTGGCTAAATTATTGCGACATTACTATTTACTATCTGTTACGATTCATGAATGAAAATTACGAGCCAGCATGTTGTAATTACAACAATTACAACTAACGATTACGATACTCATTATAGACTGGCTCTTACCGGCGAGTTCTTGATAAATGAAAAGAAATAGCGCGGTGTGTGTCGACTGAAAAATTCGTCTGAGATAAAGAACAACGTGCGGAGATGCGTTTCCTAACCTATCCTAACCGCTGAAGGCGTATTGACATTCATAGCAGGCTTTTCTCTGTTTATAGTAGGATGAGTAGAATGGTTGCTGTGTATGGTGACGATTGTGTGTCGCGGAAAACAATCCACAAATGATAGGTGCAGTTCCAAGAACGTCGTGAAAGCTTGGGCGGACAATGCACGACCCGGTCAAGCAAACATCATCAGTCTCATGTCTCCCGAACTCGTTGAACAGCTGGATCTAGTGGATAAACTTGTGAAAGCAAATCGTCGTGCTACCATACAGTCCACGGAACCGGCACTTGGACGATTGTGCATGAAAAATTGGGATACAAAAAATTGTGCGGCCAATGGGTGTCAAAGATGTACTGCGTAAAGCAATCAAGAATAAACGTTCAGGATTGTTAAATTCTGGTCTTGTGTCGTTGCACGATAATGCCCGTCCACACGTGTCCAATGAAACAAACTTCACTGGAAAGTACTAGAGCATCTATCGTATAGCCTAGACCTAGACCTATCACCTTGTGATTATCACTTGCTTGGCTCATGCAAAAAACGACTGAAGGGTCAACGATTTGCATTAGATTGCATTAGACGCTGAGATCAAGAACAATGTGACGAACTGGTTGTTCTCACAGCCCAAGGTCTTCTTTGAGACAGACATACAACGGCTTCCGCAACAGTAGGATTGCTGTATCGACGCTGCCTCCAGGCTCACGGTAATTACTTCTGACTGGAACGTACATATGTGTTGTCATCGGGGACGCTTGTCAAAAACATTCTTTTCATTTGACCAAATCTATGTATGTATATGACGAATCTTTTGGCAACTTTATTCCTTCATTAATTATATGCAACGTGCATTACTTTCGTATTTACAGAGATATGGCTTAATTACAAGCAATTGGAATTCAGGCGCACGAGTAACAATTATTGCAATAATTGACTAAACATTCAACAATAGGCGCATCTTATATATGTCTTTTCCTTCACCGCACGTATATACCTTTTCTGCTTCTTCACACAATACTATTATAATAATGTATAATACAATAAATCATTCAAATATATTCATGTCAATATGCTATAAATATATATCAAAATACAGGAACATATCTACAGCAAATAAATAATTACAAGTGTATAAATAAAAAAAAATTATCATTCTATATTACACACTGACTTGTATAGAAGATGCATTTACAGCATATGATTGAATGATTCATATGAATCTCTAATGTAAAGTTCATTTACATTTTTTCACATATCCATTGTGCTTAATAAATTAATATTGAAAATGTCAATATGGAAAATGTTGGTCCAGCTAAAGAAATATTCATTATTTAATATCAGGATTTTCATATGACTGCTCCCATAAATAATCATCAGAGTCAACTAAGATTTAAACCATCCTCTGTTTTCAAAGACAGAGAATTTAGACAATTAACTTTGTTTAAAACTTATATATATATTTATTTATTATAAATAAACATATATTTTACTTGTCATATACATATATTTACATATAAATAAATATACAATTTATAATTCATGTATGAAATTTATAAATGGGAACAGTCTGTACACAGAAGTTTTATATATATATTATATATATGTATAAAACTTGGTAAATAGAAATAATCCATAGAAAGTAATATAACTACCCGTATCGCGATATTATCATTTTACTTCCTCTACAATATATTTACATAATTTCTTGTACGCGTCCATTTAAAAATCCGTCCAAAAACATCCCCATTCAAATATGGCATTAAATTTCTAATCATTCATACATTGATAAAAATTAAAACTTCGTGTTACGAATTTCCTCCTTTAAGAAAATTAATATTTTGTGATGTAAGTGATAGACGTCTCGCAGTTATAGACTAGTATAAGATAATCACGCGAAAATAATAGCTGACTCTCGTAATCCTAAAATGTTACTATATAATAAATGATTAGTAACATAATAGAATTAAAAAAATTTCATTCGCATTATACTTAACGACAAAAAACATAGGTATAAATAATCCTTGTTATAAATTAAAAAATGACACGAACAAAGGATGTATTGCTTCCTCATAGAGGAAGCTTTGTGATGGTGAAAAAATTTTTTTTCGAGATTTTGATGGAAATAGGTTTAGAATGTTCTAAAATGTCGAAAAATCGTATTAGTAAAAAATGTCCGGAAGTATGTATGTATGTGTGTGTGTGTGTGTGTGTGTACGGATTTTTTGTACACGCATCTACTTCTACAATTTTTTAGATACCGGGTTGAAATTTGGCACACAAATAGAGTATCATAGAAAGTATGTCCTCCTCAAATTTTATTAAAATCCATAAAACGGTATAGATTTTATGCAGATTTTCATTTTTTTGAAAAATGTGTTTTACGCTGCATCTTTCTCAATATTTGAGATAGCGATCTATTTTTAACTCTATTATATTTTTGAGTTTTTTCTACCCCTATTTCATATATAATTCATTAAAATTTGATTGATTAGATCTCGTGTTACACACATTTGAAATTTCGGAGAATTATACATACAGTTTCTAATTTATATAATAATTGAAATCGAGTTAAAATGTTCATATTTGATAGCTTCGGTTTTATCTCGAAAAATCGTATTAGTAAAAAATGTCCGGAAGTATGTATGTATGTGTGTGTGTGTGTGTGTGTGTGTGTACGGATTTTTTGTACACGCATCTACTTCTACAATTTTTTAGATACCGGGTTGAAATTTTGCACACAAATGGTGGTATTTCACCATTGCTTGATTAGAGTTTTTAAGTGTTTAAGTAGAAACCTTCGCACACAAAGCTTCCTCTATGAGGAAGCCAACACAAATAAATACTGAAAATTATACATTGAAAAAAATAATGCTTCATCAACTTGCACACTTAATAACTATGAGGAAGCAATGTGCAAGTTTCAACTTGCACAATTAATAACTATGAGGAAGCAATGTGCAAGTTTCTACTTGTTATTATTTAATTCTACTAACTGTAAATAAACGATATGTAATGTTCTCTTACGTCGTGACGCTTAAATATTACATTTAATTATTCTATGCTTTTTCGTCGAAATAATATACTAATTCGATTAAATATTTTTAAATATTCTTGCAATATTGCATAAAGAAATATGTAAAAAAAAAACTCGGAAGTTGCTTAGATCAATATACTCTACAATTCGAAGCACGCGTCTCTTACATTAAATTTTACTGGTTATCGAACTAAACTTTCTCATAATGCCTACACAGATTTTAAGTAACATACACGATTTGCATTTTGTTATAAATAATTGCGGGTTATAAGACAAAATCATATAATAATAACATATGTGTTATGATATACATAATAATTATAATCGCAGGTCATTTTTTTCGTTGTTTGCGCAAATTGCCTGCTATCTATCGATGACGCGTACTCTTTTTACATTAAATTAGAAAGAATAATACATATCACATTAATAAAAGTAACGTGTGTTCTGGAAACGAGCTCTGTACTTTCGTTTAATTGTGATCTCTCGTTCCATAAAAATCATATACACAAATTTTCTATGACAGTGATGATCTCATTCAGTAGGAAAGTACAATGTAAAATTACTAAAGTATTTCGTCTCTCGTGTCGCACATAAATAATCACCGGATTGACGATACATGCGAATAACAATAAAACTTACACCTAGAAAATAAATTCCTTAAAAGCTCGCGCGAAAAAAAAAGTCGACCACTGTCCACGTACACCACATACGTTTCACAAAATTATTTGTAGTCATTAAATGCACGTTAAGTAATAGGACACATTTTCGATTGAAGTTTAAGTCATTCTGAATTCACTTATACTCCTCCTTGCCACACTTTCCTACTTTTTACTTCTTCTCTCTTTTCCCTTTCGTTTCTCTTCGCATTTAATTTCTCGTTGCATTTCGCAATCTCAGGAGGATTTTATCACAGCACATTTCTTTAGCAGATACAAAATATGCTGGCACAATCGTTGTTAATCTCCGGAGTACCTTCACAACGTATGTAAAATTAATATGTCGACAAAGAAACGTCTGCGTGTATAGTTTACATTTAGCGCTAAACACAGCCGGTTATTTATTATTTAATTAAATATCGAAAATTCTACAGCTGCATTTAGCATTAAATTCGCAATGTAAATGGAAATCTAAGTCTCGGGAGAAGAAAAAAGACGATTAAGAGAATGATGTTGAAATCATTACGTATATCTACAGAAAATTTCGTATTTCTACAGAATAACCGTTACTTAACGATAACATGTTATTGTTGGAAGACGAGAACGGCAGGTTATCAGAGAAAGTAAATCGAATAATATTTCGAGAAAGATGCATGGAACAAATAGAAAACATCTAAAAGCTTCGACATATTATGCTTTTCAAATTTCCCATTCGTAAATAAAATTTTCAATACGATAACAATCAAAAGTTTGGATGCAAGAAAGTCTATTATTTACAATTTTTACTTACAGAAAAAGAAGAGAAACGGGAAATAACAGAAGCTAAAATAGTTTAATATTTTACCGAGTATTGATAAAGAAATAAATAATGAAAACCGCCACAATTTTTCGGTTGCAGTTATCTTTCTTGTAATTACAGTACCTTTTAATTGTTGTAAGAACTATTGTTAACAGATATGAAATGACCAGTATGAAATATGACTTTTTCTTGTATAGCTAAACTTAGACAAATCCATACATCAATGAATATTTCAATATAAGTAGAAAATTTATTTGTTGGAAAAGCGGAGCTTATCTGATGCAGTCAAATAAATTTTTCTTTGAAACTTTACATTCATTTAAAGTTCGAAGAGCCAATCGAAAGGGTATCGAATATTTACAAAACCGAAAATAGTGGAAAAATATGTATATACAGTATTAAGTATACATTTATAAAGTACCATGCCAACTTCGCGAATTTGAAACCGAAGTAAAAGCAATTTCATCCTCAAAACAATTCTTGTATACAAGAAGATTGGATTATTCATTCTCCATATGAAGTTTTCTGATCAATTCCTTCGGTGCATAACTCATAACAACAAAATGAAATTGAGTTATCTCAACTGTATGTTTCTTTTGTCCTTAGGCGTGTTCGTTCTCGCTGCACTTCTGAACTAGTGCAACAAGTTAGAATGAAAGAAAATATATTTGTTTCATTCTAACTTATTGCAATATGTTGAACTAGTTCAGAAGTGCAGCGAAAACAAACAGACCTTTTATATCATGATTATATCATGATATCAACTTTATATTACATTTTACATTGATGAAAAAAACAGTGAACTGTTGATCACCAGTGGAATTGAGAGATTTTATTTTTTCTCACGTGTGATACCACTTCATATATCCATACATACCATTGACAGTGATAAATGTTAGCTACAACAGCTACTGCTAATGTTCTACGATTTTGCTTGCTCATTCACTCTTACTCACTCACTCACTCTCTCTCTCTCTTTCTTTCTTTTTCTCTTTGGCCATGATTCATAGATAAAAATTAAATAATCCAATCTAAAATAAAAACGTAGAAGTGTTCTCTAAACCGTTGTAATCACTGCCGTTGCATCGATTAAGATCAATCATAAGTATGTATCCTACGTAAGCTAATCTATCTTGATAAGTCATTTTATTCATCTTTTCCTAGTTTCCATAACGGTGGGATCACATTTAATCTCTCGTTGGCGTACGCTTTATGATAAATTTTTACGTATTTCGCCATTAACATGTACGCCTCATTACGTATGATATCACTAGTAAGTAAAGCGCAGTTCTGATAACGGGACGCGCATAGAGCTAAGCATTGTTACAAGGTGGAAGAAGTTTTTCTAGGCGATCATGCGATAGATTTTTCTCGATTTCGATCTATTTCAAAATGTTATTTTAATTATCTCAAGTCTCCCTCTCTAAGGTATAATGTGTCCTTCAAATTATATGCAGTCTTTAATAATTAAACTTTAATCAGTTTGAATAATTAACATACACCGTTTACTCTAATCCATAAACAGACTAGTAACTGTGAAATAAAGATCATGCTCAGACGAAAGTATTTGTATATCGTAACTATGACAAGTGTTCTCTAGCTCCATTCGACCACTTTTCATTCTCTATCAAATATACGCGTATATCCGTACACCTGGTTAAATTCGTGAGATTTTTCGACAATCGAGTCTCACATTTTCATATTCCTTGTTGAAATCAATTACTTCAATTCATCGTGCGATAACAAATAAAGCCTGTGTTTTTAGATTTAATTGAATTAATCGATTTAAATGCGGAAAATGAAAAATCTAGGACGAAAGCGTGAAACAAGGTTGAACCAAAAACTCTCACGAATATCCAATATTTATATGGCGATCGATTCAACGCAAAAATTAATACTCCAGTTCAGCTTAGTATCTGCGGCGGGTCTATTTCAATCAGAAAATCTTTCTCACCATTTTCTTCAAAGTACTTCTCTTTTCTTTCTTGGTCGACATGGGGGTAACGCTACTCGACTCGTCGCTCTCCTCGATCAAGCCATTTGCGCTACCATTGGCACGATCACTGACAATCTGCGACAGCGTCTTGAAGTCCGTGGGGCTGGACTGCGAGGATCTGTCATTCGAATGCTCCGAATCTTGGCTCCACTCCCATTTTTCGATGGAGTTCGTGGAGAGTTTCCTTTTGCTTCTCGCACCCAGGGCAGTTTTCATAAAGCCCGGCGAGCTCAATCTTGCGCCCTTGAGAATACTGCTGGCTCTGAACGAGCCGTTCTTTGATGGCTCGATCTTCCGTTCAGCTGTATTCAAATACGAACTTGATCTTTTGAAGAACCTGTCTACAGTTACCGACGACGTATTAGGCTCACCGAGTTCGTCGATTTGACGGCCGAGTTCGGAACTTGCTCTGGATTCCGTTGTGTAGGCTTTATCTTCCGATGCAGGCTGCACGATTCGTTCTATTCTTTCTATTTGATCGTCGAACCAACTGACAGCGGCCTCGGGCGCGGATTCCGGCCTCTTGCCGGCCACATCCTGTGACTCTTTGGAGTGTGGAGAATCTATGGACGAATCTATGGCTCTTCTTGACGGCAACGTTGTACCACCAGGAATCACGTTCAAGACACTCTTGTAACGAACTGCCTCTTGTCTCGCATCAGGATTAACTATTGCTCTAGTACCAGATGCAATTGTTTCTTTCTTACGCTTCTTCTTTCGCTCCTTTTTTGTCTCATAGGGTCGGTCGTCGATCATCAGCTCATCATACGTACCACTAATATGAGACGCGATCTCGCTGGGTCGCCGGTTCTTCGTTTTCTTCGCTGCGGCATGAGAACTGAAGTTCTCTGCACTCTTTCGACGCATGGTGTCCTTCCTCATGTCCGTTTCGAGTTTTTCCTCTTCAAAATCTTCTCTTCGACGACAGTAAGAAAGAATCAAGATAATGACGACAATTTCCAGACAAATCAACAAGGCATGCTGGACGATCGCAGATATTCGACTGCGCCAACTGTCCCGATCGTAAAGGAGAGTTTCGACCGATTTGGAAAGTATAACGATTTCTTCCCTCAAAGCGGCGATCTCTTCCGTTCTTTTCGCATCGCGCTCCTCGCCCTTTCGAGATTCTTCGCCCATAGCAGCCACCGCGCGCTCCAATGAGCGCTGCATTTCTTCGACTTGTTTTTTGTAGCGGCGGCTTAACTCTTCCAAATATTGTCCGCTGAGTGACATGTTTCGTTCTAAAATCTGAAAAAATTATATTAATTGCATTAATAATATTGCATTGATAATATTTAATTGATACAACTACATGATCTAATAATAAATAAATAATTTGCATTTAGGTACATGTTACATTAATTAATATATGGCAGGGATGACATCCAATACCACTTTCGTCTCTTATTTACTTTTTCACAAATTTTCCAACATTTTTTAAAATAATTTTATTGATCAAGTATTTTTTTTTTAAATCCCAATGAAGACTATTCTTTCTTACCTTGATCCTGTTGGACAATCGAAGAAAAACAGACTCTTTCTGAGGGACGATATTTGCTGTGGGCTGAGTCGTCGGCGAAGAGCTAGACGCTCCATTCTGTATATTAGCCGTGTCGACCTCCAAATCTTTTAAATCGGACAGTAATGAATCCAACGAGAGGTGATCTTGAGACGACAATCGAGCCTCTTGCTCGCTCAGCTCTTTCGCCTGTCTTCCGTCTTGTTCGCCATTTTCCGACTTGTCCGTTTTAACTTGCGCAACAGTCTCGGCACTTTCTGTATTAGGCGCAAGAGCCTCGCTACTTTCTTGACTGTCGACGTTTACTAGCGGAATGTTGCTTATTGGTAATGTCTCGGTAGGAGTCCCTAAAACCGGCAACTCCTCAGCGATTTTCAACGTCGGTGTCGGATTAGATGGCGGTGGAATGGTCGTCAACACTTGCGATTGCAACGTCTCCTCTGTGAATTCCTTACTGGGTTCTAAAATTGGTGCGGACGAGTCTTTCTTCAAGTCCTCTTTGCTGAGTGTCTTCGTAGGCTTGATTTGCGACGCCAAGCTCTCCGGAAAACTGGCAGAAGTCTCTATAGTCGCGATGCTGATATTCTCGCTCTCTTTGCTGACATCCTGAGCCAATGGAGGCTGTCGGACTTCCTTGAAAGACGCGGCAGACTTGCAAGCGGAAGAACTCGAGTCGAGAATACATGGATCCACAGTGGAGGATGTTTGACGATGAAAAGTGACCTCGACGTTATTATTGATATCCTTAGTGGATAGAATGTCTTCACTGGCAGCATCCTTAGATTTATTTACGGGAATTTCATAACTCGTATTCATTACCACCTTGCGTTCCTTCGTTGCCAAAACATTGCACAACGCCACGATATATTCAGGTTTGAAGAATGATGTTAAAAAAGTTGCCTGAAAATCCTCCGCCAAATTGAAGTGCGTCGTGTCATCGTCCTTCGTTTTGTCCTCCTCTCGTCCCCGCCAAAATGACTCAATCTCCACGCCATGAAGATCGCACAGCTTTCCTCGTCTCAAAGTTCTGTTCACCAGATCGATCTTGAGCAAATCATCCAACTGTCGATTCTTGCAACTGACCAGTTGGAAAACACTGGCGAACTTCTGATCGGTGCAGTTGCCGCACAGGATCGTGTATCTCGGCGTCGTGCAGCTCGCGTACGAATTATCCAATATGTTACCGTGATCGATGCTTTGCTGGATCTGCGTGATGTTGTTTCCGGTGAGACCGCTGGACTTGACCAGAATCGCCGCAGCTTTCTTTACTACATTTAGCACGGCGTCGCGTGCACTACCGAAAAGATTACTCGGTGAATCACCGCTATCTAACAGCTCCTCCTCATCGCTATCTTCATCGTCTTCATCGGTATTCTTCTCTTCTGAAGTCTCATTTTCCGTCTCGGTTTCTAGCACTTCGAACTCGCTGGTGCCGTAAGCACGAAACAACGAGACAGGACAAAAGTGTTCCGAACCATAGTGCGATAGGAGTTCGACTTTGATAAACTTTCCGAAGAAGTGAGGATGTAGAGCAAAACTCTGAACGTCTTTCACGTCCTTGGCGGTGAACTGACCGACTGGGCTCCAATCCTTGGTAGGAAAGCGATCGCTCACGTAGACGGAAAAGTCTTTTGGTGACGAGCTGAAGAGCTCAAAATTCGCCAGCTCGATCTTTTTTGCTTGTATCGCTTCGCACAGCTCGACGACGAACCAGACGCGCGACGTGCAGGCGTTCAGCATGTATTCGTCTCGCGTGGACACCAAAACGTTCTTGGCGCTACTCGCTTCGGGGTTGGCTGCCACAATCTTGGCGCCGCAGTCGGGAGAAGCGTAATTCTTATTACGAATTTTCATGCCGCTTACACCTCGTCCTGGACCACCCGGGGTCTGCACGGAAGCGTTCGGATGAGCTGCAAAGTAAACCAACGAAATAGCTTATAAATAAGATTTCCTGAATAATAGCATTATTGAATTTAGTAGGTTCTACGTTTTATTTTCGTTACAAAAAAAATCAATTAATTAGAATTAGCGATAACACTCACTTTTTTTCTTTTCAGCCTCCTCCAAACGCTTCTGTGCCCATTCGCTAAAGGACGGTATGTCCTCGTGCGGCTCGGTAGGACCTGAAGTGACGAGTCCGTTCAGGATCACTGCTGCAGTCTCGTCCCTGGTATCGCCGACCAATCGTGCTCTAGCCGCCGTGTCGTTCAATTCTGGTGCCGTGGTGAACGTGTCATCGATCTTCGACGACAATTCCTCGGGTACCTGAGCCTGACCAGTCTCCTCCTCCTCGACTCTTAGCTCCAATTCGTCCGTGTTGATTTTCTGCTCCGCTCTGACGATCACTACAACTTCCGGCGGCTCCTCAGCAGTAATCTTCTTCAGCAGAAGCGCCTCCTCGCCATCCCCGAGGACATCGGTGTCATTCGGCCGCTCCGTCGTCTCGTCAACGATCGGCGGCGACGGGATCTGCGTCGTCGGCACACTCTCCTTCAGGTGCTCGGATTGTCTGGCCTGATTGCCGTCCAGCGAAGAATTCTTGACGGATGATCGCGAAGGGAGCTCGTGATCGAGTTTCGGCTCGGCTAAATTCTGCAATCCAGCCGCTGCGGTGTCCACCAGAGTCAACACCACCGCCTGGCCGGTCTCGGAGATCCTGCGAACACAGACAAGCGTATACATAATATTATAATATAATGAATAATTTATAATATATACCTTATACCGCATATTTCATCTTGTTTCATTCACCATGAAATCTTTCAGAATAAATTATTCTTGATTTTTTTTGACAGATGTCTATGTTAATTAGATAGCAATTAAATTTCAAAGACATACTCTTTATTTCTGAGATATTAAAATATTAATATTAATATATCAATCTATTACATAGTATTGCTGAAGAATATAATTACGTAGCGACAATAAATATTATAAAACTCATCTCAAAGAATGTCGGGGATGACGATGCAGTATTATACGTTTATGATACGCACAATAGCGAATAACAGATGTGGCACTTCAGAATATCAAAACGAAGCAAACGCTGTCATTTTCAGATGCATAGAATTTTTTATTGAAAACATGACACATGATGATGAGAATTGAATAAACATTGAAACAATATAGTTGTAGCATGTAACTGAGAAACATAGTGTGCATAACCCGTAAATATAAAAACTGTGCAACCGCAAAAATCAATTTTATACTAACGAGAGCAGTTTTTAGATGCATCGTACACATACATCTATGAACACGTTTCGTCAATCTTTAAAAGGGACCTCACCCGGAAATACATAAAACATGTGAGTTTAAAAAAAATTAATAAAGTGGTCCCTGCACTAAAAAGAGATTTATCATATACTTATATATACAAATCATTGTATACATAATTTTTCTGCCAATCTTCCAGAACTAAAAAATACTTTAATTTAGCTTCTAATAATTTTTTTAAGTCCATAAATACCACCGTCCAAGTCCATAAATTCCCATTCAATCGAATACGAATAGCAGATTTGTAAAAATCTTAATCCCACGACTGCCTTCTAACAAATGTAAAAGAATTTATCCTCGTTCGCGAAGCGAGCGTAGAAACATATGTGTCAGGGTCATAAATGATGCTCGTTTTGGTTTCTCGTTAATGTCCTTGTTCGGTAATGCTTTCTCACCGATGATAGATGCATGCGGGAATGCACCAAAAGACCGCTAATACAGCCAGGTAAAAGGCGGCCGCCTGAAGAAGATGTCTGTGTTGCCCGGCGGGATTAACAGTCCAATGCAGAGTACATCCGCCGTTGCTGTTCTTGACGGTGCTCTTGACCATGATTTTAAACTGAGGTGCACACACTTTACCAATCACTATTTCACCGTTGCTTCGGCGGTCTGTCTAATCGTCGCGATTCCTTTCTCCGACTCATTTATCATATTTCACACTTTGCGTGAGTTTATGACGCAAAAAGCGCGATTATTTTATCGACAGTTCTATGATGGGGACATGTCACACGTCAAGCGTGTTACATCACAAATATGTTTGTTGTTTTCTATCGCTGAAGAGTCGGAACTATCGGAGAGTAGCTGGGTTATATCTTTTAGAAAATCAAAATAAACCTTAGAATCGTGACAAATGCGGCTATTTATCGTTCCTCTATTATCGGCATGCAAATTCTTATCACGGGAAAATTTTTTCCGCGTTTTAAATACTGAAGTCTAAAAAACATCAATAGAAATAAAACCGCAAAATTGTACAAACGCAATTACTACGTGCCAAGCGAAAAGAGAACCCACTCCATAATTCGAATAAATTCTCTATCGCGATAATTTCGGAGTAAATAATGATACGAACAAAGCCAGTCAATCATTTGCGATCTCTCCAGTAACAGCAGTAATATGCGGCGGACAGAAGTGATAATACAACCGAGTAGTTAGATGAAATGGCATTTGATTGACGCACCATACTCTCGTTTCTATCAAGAATATTGCTTTATGCGTTAACATGTCATTTATCCCGGGGTTCAATTAAGAGTTACGAGGCACGTGACGTTTATTATTGATGCCTGTATGCTTAGAATGTGCTATTAGGGCTGCTATGCATATTCAATATTCGGAATTAGTTCGAGGGCACCATACGCATGAACCAAACGCATCTCTCTGCTATACCATGTCGGAATTCGATCACTATCAGAGTCGAGTACTGTCATTCCAAGTCTTTATCCCTGTTTAATCTAATATAATCTTTGGAAAACTACCTTTCATAATATAACGTTAGCTTCATCCGAAGATTCATCATTTATACTGGACGTTGGAAGATTTATCGCTCACGAAACGGAGTTCGCAAACAAATTTTTCTTTCATATCGGAATAATATAAATCTTCTTATGAAGTATTGGCATCTTGGCCGCAATTACTGGTGTCACACTTGGGAGTCGAACTTGACGTGTAAAACCGGGAAGTGTTAACGAGTTGCCGTTACCGGTTCAGCTAATGATTCTCCTATACAACTACATAAATAGAAAGTACTAACGCACGTCGTATGCCGGAAACTCTAGTACAAATCCCCTTAATCTAATATAAATTGAGCTTGACTAATTACGATTAAGATAGTTATTGTTAAAGATTCACAAAACTAGTGTATTTAAAAATTAATAGTGTATGAAAAAAATTAATACATATTTCTGTAATTAGAAAATTAATTTAGTATTCACATATCTTGATATATATATTCTAACCGACTGGAATATAATCTCACAGATAGATATATTATTCATTTCTTCATTTCTTTTTTCATTTGCCTAAAAACGTGAAATCGATCTACTAAAAAACGAAATATCGAAATAATTCCGCTAATAATTATATATCGGTATCGTGCACACACCTTATATATTGTTATAAAACCGCAATGCTAAAAAACTTTTAAAATACTAATATTTTATATTTGATATACATATATGATTACGAGTATCAAATATTAATACGTTTTTGTTCCAAAATTTTCGTAATACCAATATTATGTCACGACAAATGAAAGATTGAGAAGTGTCAATTAAAGTCGGTATTTAAGCTCGTACACACGAGCAACACAGATATTTGCAGAGAGTGCATTATGCTTATACGCACCGTGCGATGGGAAAATCGAATTCCACTCGCTGCTTCCGTTAAAAAAAAAGATGATTATATCTCGATTACGACAATTGGCTTCGAACGACCGGCTTATCGCGTGTGCATTTAATCGGAACGAATGGCGCATTGTGAACGGACCCTCAGACGAAGACCGAAGACCGATGTCACCGCGAATGGTAAAAGCTCCGTCGAGATCGTTTCACGGTCTGGCGAACGTCGATCAATGAACGAGTCGGTTTGCGCGAGAACGATTGCCGTTGAGAAACCGCAATCCTGCCGACTGCTGTCCGTTCGCAAGACTGCAGCTTGCGAACACCGATCTCGAATGCAATCGAGAGAATCCGACTAAACTGATACGACGGCGATCGGTTTCGATGAAATATAGTCATCTGAATCCCCGAATGGACCTAAAATCGATAAACAACATGACTAACTGGTCAGCGGTAAAAAATGAAAAGTATGCACAAAAAAGACAAGACTATATATCACACTGACCCAGTCTTGAAACATCGGCCCTATTTCTTGTCAAGAACTAAAATAATCGCTCGTTCGCAGAGAAATAACAACAAATTATTTATCGACCATTCATCGCTATATAGGCCGATGTTGCTATAGATGATTGAAAAACTACGATACAACCGAGTTTCATATCAATATTAATTTAACGAAAGAAATAATTATGCCTTTCTTATTCTGGACACGACGATAATCTACTGCAGTCTAGTGAGTCTAGCAATGCACTAGCATGTTACTGTCAACGCCCATAACGTAGTATTTTTCGCATCGATGCACGCGACATACGTTCGTAAGCCGCTGGCATTCGCACGCAGGTTTCATTCATAGGCTACAATCATTTAACGTAGGCAGGCGAAATGCGTTGACGACGCATTTCCCGTTTCTTCAATGGGCTATTAATAACGCTTCGTGATTTAGAAGTCATTCACCATTCGCATTGTTACGCAATAACTCGATTATGCGCGCACATGATACAGCACTATTATGATGCGAAACACACGGATAAAGGTATTAAAGTGTGTGAGATGAAAGCGCTTAACGCGCACAAAGAATTGAAAATAGAAATTCCAATAAACATATAAGCATTATGTTCATTCGATCGTTAATCCATTTGATTCAATCGTAAAAGATGACGTGAAAAATATGGAAAATAGGAAAAACCAAAATAGGAACGTAAATAAATTGTAATATTTAAGGTTATTATTCTTACAAATATGTATGTAATGTATTCCTCGACTTCTCACGCGATAATAAACGCAAAAGCAGCTAATAAACGCAACAAGACAAAAAAGTACGCTATTAACACTTTATGTCTATATGTCACTCGTGGGAAGAATCGAAACCGGTAGATTTACCGGCAAACCGATAGATAGCCGTCAATGGTGAAAACGCAATAATTAACCAGAGAAATTTATTCGTTAGAAAACGAAGGCGGTATACGTATAAATCTGGATTCCCATAAACCTGTCAATCGTAGAAAAGTAGAACGACTCTTGAAACAAAATCCGGGCCAGTTTTTCCTCTCCAGATGTCTCTTGCTCGTTATAAACAAGTTATCATTAAATATAACATTATTATGAACTGTACAGTCTGTACACGTTACCTTCAGAATAATACCATCAATTATGCGAGGGAAACGTCAAGTGTGACAGTCAATTACACGGAGCTTAGGAGCTTCAATTGTCATCTAACGTAATTAACGCGAATTATAAATGCTGGAGATATATATAAGCGTGGAAAAATTAACTCATTAAAGTCAAAGATTCGACTTGATAAACAGGAAAATACGGAACGTGCAAGATATTAAGAGGTAAGATATAAGAGGTAAGATTAAATACTTGAAGAGCGAAAGAGAAAACAAATTGAAAATAATTTGTTCATAATTAGACAGTTATATAAACTGCAGCGCTGTAAGTCGTATATCTCGTCATATACCTCGAATTATTTATATTTACATCAAATTATTGGATAAACAGTTTAGATTTTTACAAAAAATTAAATTAGAATGAATTAAAGATAAAGAGATTATTTACAGTACAGTTACGTCACAAATCGTTAAACAGAAACACAAATTGCACATTGGTCATTAGAATTTTAATAAGTAATCACTTTACGCGTGAGCAGCGCAGTACAATTTAACGCCAACAATTAAGTAAGCGATGCACGTTCGATCGAAAAGTCATTAGCTCCTCTCTTTCCTCACATTTCGTCGTAAAAGTCGATCGCGAACGCAATAAAGAGAAATTTTATCTTTCCACGCAAAATCCAACATTATCTTAAAATTCGACAATGTTATATACTCCATAAATTTAAAATATATCATTTATACAATATAGAAAATTTAAGAGCGAAACAGACTTTAATTACTTAACAAAGATACAAATTTAAATCACAAGGAAACGTATTGATTAGGATGATAATAATCGAGTATTTGAACAATCATCAAGTTTTCCAAAGACCATGGTCTCTCTCCGAAAAATGGCATACATCACGCTGTAAACAGACGCGAGATTTATGTATCCCATATATACATACGTGTAATCGGACAATTGGATTGTGCGTAATTGAACGCAGTCGGAGAGCTCTCGAGGAGCGCGCTTTCTCAATCGGATATCGATGGCTCTTTGTGGTGGCACTAAATAATGTTCCTGTTCATATTAGCGCGCACATCCTCCATTGCGTGTACTTAGGCGATCGATAAATCTCGAGTGACAGCGAAATCACGAAGTGACTACGCACGAAAGTAGCTTGGAAATTCTATCGACTTAACGGCTTTCTAAGTAGCCTTTTCTCGTAAGTCGCGTAAAAATGTAAAGAGTGCTCTTGGCCATGGATCCTTTCTAACGTTACACCCTCGTTCCGCGGTCGTTGCAATAAAGGAGCGCATAATCGGATAAAAGTCATTTGCGCCTTTCCATCTATCATTCTTTGAGGAGGCATTTTATTCTTCTATAATTTAGCCTCGAACATCAATCATTTGCTGCATGCGCAATAAAAACATGTTTATGACATATTAAAACAATAGCCACGTTCAGCAGAACGTGTTGAAAATTTTCTGAGCTCAGATTGGACTATTCCCTCTAGATCTGAAAGAATAATCCAATCTGAGCTCAGAAAACTTCCAATAGTTGCAAAATAAACGTTCTGCTGAACGCAGCCATTGATTGTCCTTCTTGTTTTATTAATTTAATTTTGAAAGATTAACATCCAAAGATCTCTTTCTTTCTTATCTCTTCTCTTATCCCGTCAATAAAGTAATAATGTTTGATTACATCGTTTGAACATCGTATTTCCTACATAATCAATCGATTCTGCTCTGGCAACATATAATAAAATAACGATATGGTTTTAGAATAAACTCTAGCCAGCAGAATTAATTAGTATTCGTTAATATTTCGATTAGAATTAGGAATGAAGGGTTGCAATATCGATATTATTGTCTAATCATTATCTTAACATATAACCTATGTTAAGATTACCATATATCGAAAAAGAGTACTCTCGTTCACTAATTCATCAAACCTGTAAGAACCTCACAGGTTTGATCAGAAGTTCTTTGTGTACTAGTCAAACCCAGCTAACAACCGATAAATCATTAATAGCTATTATTCATTAATGAAAGTCGTATGATCGATGATTATAATGAATAAGGCGGACGCCGGAGAGAAGGATGAGAACTGATCGTGGCCCTATCTCCAGCCCGTCGAGAATTAAGCGGTGATAAATATCTTGTCCGCTCAAAGAAATCGTTCCACGTTTATATGCGCTTACCAGACCATCCAAATTGACGTTCAGTGACGGAAATTAATGCGGCAAATTGGTAGCTGTAGGACGTTAGGTACTTTTCTTTTCGCTCTAGTACAAAATCGCGCGATTTCTCCTCGACCGACAGATATCGCAATAACGGAACGCGTACTCGGAATCGATTGTATATCGACCGTTTTGCCGAGCTGAAATGCGTCTTGGCCTTTTCAACCGCCAGCGAAAACTGGTACGGAAATTCACAGCCCACACGCAACATAATGCGTTATAGAAATCGGAGCGCATCATGATCTCGAAACTTTCTGTACGGGAGGTATGTAAATAGAAGGAGGGATTTATCTATGATTATCGACATTAGATTTTCTATCCTATTATTATGTCCAGTACGGCGAATACTTTCCAAAGGAATATCCCGCACGCGATAACGAGATCGGATCGCGGATAAATCCAAATTGATAGCGTTCAGGTACAGTCGTTGACGTGAAAAGTGTCGACGTAGGGACGAATTTTCGCTGCGGCGTTTCGTTCCGCCTGCTCTTAACCGCGCCTACGTCGCAACAACCGCCTACGTTTGTAGGCACATTATTTAAAAATAAAAAATGAAAGAAACATTCTAATAGATACGCGATACGGCTCTAAACACGTGCCGTCGTCGGCGCGGTTTCAGTTGGGGGGACGATTACTTTTA